AGAGTGAAAAATTTAAAGGGGTCTGAATACTTTCCGTACCCACTGTATGTACACATATACTGGCTCTCGCTAAATGTGCTATGCCTCAACGAAGATGAAGCAGAGATCATGCTAATAAATCCCTCTCGCCTTTCAGCTGCTATACCGAACAGTCATTCACTGTGTCTTGGCTCCATGACAACCCACCTCAAAGCATGTCAGAACTCTAGATGTGATCTTGGACTCATCCTTGATATTGGACCTCCAAGTTGCGTCTGTGGTCAAAGTCAGCTTCTTTCAGCTAAGACTCTTAGCTGAGGTCAAAGCCTTTCTCTCCTCAAAAGACCTGGAGAAAGTGATTCATGCTTCTATCACCTCCAGGCTGGACTATTATAATTCTTTGTATGCTGTAATTGGCAAAAAACTTCTATCACGCCTTCAGTTGGTGCAGAACTCTGCAGAGAGACTTGGTACACGCAGGCATGAACACATTTCACCAATCTTAGAATCCCTTCATTGGCTACCAGTCGAGTACAGAATTAATTTTAAAATGTTATTTGTTTTTAAGTGTTCAAATAGCACCGCCCCAGTCTATCTATCTGACCTGCTGGAGCCCTATACCACCTCGCTCACTAAGAACTCTCGGCCAACAGCTTTTAGTTGTTCCAAAAACAAAAATGGCAACCCGGGCCGACCAGTCCTTCTCTGTTCCTGCCCCTCAGCTCTGGAACAACCTTCCCCTTCATGTTAGGTTGTCATCCACCTTACCAATGTTTAAAAGCCTATTTCTTTTCCCTGGCCCATCACCTTTGATCTGAACGGCACTTTTGTGTGATTTGTGTCAGTTTGTCTTGATTTTAATGTCACTTGTCATTAATCCAGTCTTTGTTTGTATCACTGCTTATCTACAGTGTGTGCAGCACTTTGGGCAACCTTTGTTGTATTTTAAAATGTGCTATACAAAAGTATTTTGATTGATATACTGTATATGTGTACATATATGAGATACAGAAAGTATCACAGATATTTTCTACTTGTTTATTTAACACAAACCTAAGCAGCAGCGTTGGTGGTATAGTGGTTAGCATAGCTGCCTTCCAAGCAGTTGACCCGGGTTCGATTCCCGGCCAACGCATATTTTTTCAGTTGTCATGCTGAGGAACATTTCATGTTGTTTACAGTTACTTTAATATGTGTTGTTCTGATAAAACATTACTATGGTCATGGACTACATCAATACATATTCTCCTATAGTTCACCGTTCAGTCTCACGCATCGCATTAATACAACTAACAAACCTTGACTCAACGAATTTGAGATGAGGAAGCCACCACTTCGGTAAAGGGTCTCAATACTCTAACGGGTACCTAATGACCGTCACTGAAGGTAATCTACTAAAGGTCATTCAAGTGTGTTAAATAAAATGTCGTGCAGTGAAAAGTGCAAGATTTCCCTCTGAAGTGTAATGAGACGTTTAAAGTAGCATCACAAAGTAAAGTACACTTAATATTATAGTACTTTGTAGTGTGTTACTCTTCACTGCCACCCAGTATATTTCCATGTATCCAGCGTGTGTAACGCAGTACTTGTAGACTGCAGTATTACCACATTGTATTACTGAAGTACAACATGAGTCTGAGATGTTGTAACATCTACTCTCCACCAGAGACCACTGTGGGCTTTTGCTGATTTTATTTTGAAGGAGGATAACCATGAAGCGGAAGTGATAGCTTGTCCGTGTGTTTGTGTAGCTACAGACTCTGTGAGCTAGAACCTGGTCCGGGATTTAACTAGAACCTGGTCCGGGATTTAACGGATCCACAGAGTTCCCCTCCGACTGCCGGGAGCCTCCGGTAGTCCGTGTTCGTCCTCCTGTACCGGTACCGGCTGCTGGTGCTGCTGTCTGCCGCTGTCGGTCCCCTCTGATGCCCGCGGACCGTTAGCTGTTAGCTGTTAGCTGGTGTTGTTCTGAGTGTCATGGCGGCGGGAGGCGGCGCGGCTGCTGCTGTTGGAGACGTAGAAGAAGACGCGTCTCAGCTGCTGTTTCCTAAAGGTCTGTTTATATATATATATATATATATATATATATATATATTTTTTTTTTATTAATACTTTTACAACAGAATATTTGTAAATAAAAACTACTGACACGCTGCCTCTCTGTGATTGGTCCCCGTGTCCCCCCACAGAGTTCGAGAGCTCAGAGACTCTCCTGAACTCGGAGGTCCACATGTTGCTGGAGCACCGGAAGCAGCAGAACGAGAGCGCCGAGGACGAGCAGGAGCTCTCTGAGGTCTTCATGAAGACCCTGAACTACACGGCCCGCTTCAGCCGCTTCAAGAACCGGGAGACCATCACCGCCGTGCGCAGGTGAGGACCGGATGTCTGTGGTCTGGATCTGATCCGGACCTAATCTGATCCGGACCCCTTTCTCTCTGTTTCAGTCTCCTGCTGCAGAAGAAGCTCCACAAGTTCGAGTTGGCCAGTTTAGCTAATCTGTGTCCAGAAGCTGCCGAAGAGGCCAAAGCCCTGATCCCCAGGTGAGTGATCCACATCCCCCTCAGACCAGAACCAGAACCAGGACCAGTAACCCTGTTTCCTCCTTGTGTTTTCAGTCTGGAGGGTCGGTTTGAAGATGAGGAGCTGCAGCAGATCCTGGACGACATCCAGACCAAAAGAAGCTTCCAGTACTGAGACCAGGTCCAAACCCCGCCCCTCTCCTTTTTTTTAAGCATCCCGATCTGATTGGTCGTGATCATATGAGCTGATGACATCACTCAGCTGCTGTTCGCTGTGTTTCTGTCACAATAAACTTTACTTTGTCTTTTTTACTCGGTGGTCTGTTTGTTCTAGACTCTACAGCAGCGGTCACTAGTAGGGGGACCGCGGTCCAGATCTGGACCCAGGACCTAAAACCCATTTTATTTTGACAGAGAGCTTCTATTTTAACCAGCGCAGCTTTTCCAGCCTTTACGGCACTTGTTCAGCGGTACAGGAAACACACCGACCAATGCATTATAAATCACATCACGTGATGCAGCTCAGCCAATCAAATACGAGTATTCTGACAAGTTTCCTGACTCAAGTGAGATGTTCACACAGTGTGACACACGGGGGAGAGGATGCAGAAGAACAATACGTGAGTGAGAGAAGTTATTTCACATGACGTTCTACAAAAAGAGAAAAGTGGTCAAACAGACCAGAGTCTTTAACCAAGAATGAACAGACTCTTATAGGTTCATTCTTCACACGGACAGTTTCTAACCAGTGTGTCTCACATGTTCAGAGACCGTGATGATTATTAAAAGCGGTGATATGAAGCGTCACTACGAGGCAAAGTACAACTCTTTAGAGCAAACGTACCCACTCACATCTGAATGAAGACACAGTAAATAAACCTAAGAGCCCAAAATGATCAGAATCCTAACACATGAATTCACTGTTCAGCAATGATGTAAACAGAGAGAATAGAGCTGAAACAATCTGTTTAATAACCACAGATAAAGTCCTGAACACTGATTTCTCTTTTTAGAAGATGAGAAAATTGTGGCTTTTTTATTGACATCTCTTCACACCTGAATGAAGTGAATTTAAAGCTGCAGGACAATTCAGTGAAATCCATTTTTCTAAAATGAATTACTTTATTTTAAGATGCACATTAAAAAGCTTTCTCTCAGTTATTCTTTAATGCAGACATTACTGTACTTGAAATGAGAAGAACATGTATTTATGTATTTCTATGTATTATTTATAATCCATCCAGTTATATTTGAAAACTGAGAATAATAATTGTTAAAATATAATTGATGTGTACTTTCTTTATTTGA